TGCATAAGTAGGATTATATACGCATTACATACAAACATTTACTTCCTTGGACGGAACACGAGTGCATGGCGCAATCGAATATCATGCGCTTTCAAAGATCAAACGCGCATTCTCGTAGAACTCGGTTAGAGGAGTTCTCAACGGCATCTTAAGGTTTGGAAAAGCCTACTTTCAGAACAGAGTTATAACAAAAAGCGAGAAAAAAATGCGAAATCGCGTTTTTGGATATTCATACGTTACTCATTTGTGTGCGCTTTCAGACTTCCAGACGCATGCAGTGTCAACTGACTGTCAGAAATGGGTGAATGATTTGGTTGTCTCAGGCTGGATGTACGAAGGCAGTACCATCGTGGCCCGTATTGAGTGCTCTATTACAAAGTTGACTTTACAAGAAAATAAGTTGAGATGTTAAGTAAGTGATCAAAATGCAGAAATAGACTATTTCCGTGCTCCGAGGCTCATCAAAATGGGTAGAAACTAACGAAAATGGTGTTGACTGAAGGTGTGATTGAAAAATATCATGAATCGGAGATGGCGAATCGAATCATACATATTCAAGAATCTTATTTAGTTTGTAGTTGTAAAGTATACCAACTCCATACAGTATAAAAATGGAGGCGTTATTGTAAAGCAAAAAGAGCGTGTTTGGTGCAACAGTTTGTGCCTCTCACGTGATCCCAATATTTACAGGGGGAGAACGCCCTTGAGTTGTTAATGAGATTGGCTGCCTTCCAAATAGAACACATCTTCATTCGTCCTTGGCTGGCGTCGGACACTTGTTCAGAAACCGAAAACACCGATTTGAACGTTGTCTAGATCTCATAACTCATAAAGTAGACCCCATACGCACTCCAATGACTCCGCAATTCGGGGAGAAAGACGAATGCGCGACCCATCCATCAATCAACGCCGGGCACAACATCCTTTCTCTTAGTTGTACTATTGCCAGTTATGGAAACGAAGCTGATTAAATATGATGATATTTGGAGGTAAAATGGTAATCGGATTCATTACAACGAACTGAAGAAAATCACTTCAGGAATCGAAAAACATCACTTAAAGACGGTTCAGTGGAGTTTGTTTACTCACTATCGAAAGTATCACAACACACAAAGGATTCTACAGTAGTGCTGAATATGTGCAATCACCGTAATAATAAACAGGAGAGCGAATCACCAGGATATCTGTGCAATCCCGCAATCGATTCAACGTCATAACGTAAACGTGTCTTGACGCTAAATCGGAGCAGCGCTAAAGAGAGGCGAGCAACTAATGGCGGTTACGACCACCACCTTTTTTGGCGGCGCTCTCAAGAGTTCTTCTACAACTTCTTTGAATTCCCAAGATCTCGTCTAAAACAGGAATCTTGCAAAGATGGATGAAAAATCAAGTGATCGCCGCCTAAAAATCCCCTTGTTTAACGCTACGCCTTACAATTAGGTCTATTCCAATAAGGGGGAGGGGTGGTATTTCAGTGCAGCTAGAAGCTCTGTGTGGTGAACGATTGTTGTGGGTAAAGGCGGAATTAAGTGAAGCATTCAAAAAAGGAGAATTCTCTCATATTACTCCTCCTCTTTGGGATGTGCCACGCATTCTAAGCTTCTACTTAAATAGTAGCGTTTTTGTACCTTCAAAACTGCCCTATACAATGACTTGCGAGGGGCGAGGGGGGGGCAGCCAATGCTCAAATCGCAGTTTTTATTCTATCGAGGAGCCTCTGCTCCAATTAACTGACCTCAGAGGGACGAATGTATTTATTGGCCAGACGGCGTACAGCCCAGATTTTGATCCTCCGACCGTGCACGTACTAAGCAGCACCACTTCCCTCTACACCACTTCAGTCCTGAGGAGAACACTATTTCATCTTATCCCTTCAGTAATAATCTTTGTGTGATTGAAAACCTTGGGACCCTTCACCCTAGTTTTTGAAATAGACCCCACTCTTGTATCACTTTTAGAGCCATGTTACAACTATACTACAAATGCATGGGTGACTCCCGCAGACAGTAGGTCCGTGCCTGGCAAAGTGGCCGCTTGGCCCGCGAAAAACGCGTTCTAATGGTGAAGCATTTAGTTGCTCGGTTTCACCCAGAGAATACGTCATAAAAGTCGGCCTTCTTAGCGCAGGTGTTACTAATTTTGCTATTGCTGCTTCCATATTATTGGTCAATTACAACTAGATAGAGCTCGTTTTGTAAGAATCGCATAGCACTTTATCTGAAGGATGGAGATGAACATTCCTAAAGACTGCAGAATACTCAGAAAACTTTAATTTCTTCTCCCTAACTTCAGACAGTTCCTTAGGTCGAACAGGTAACGCGCAGCCCTCATATAGAACATTTCGTAAGTTGAGGGAGACCCACAAACTCCATCCACTTCCCTTTCCTCTTTCAATACATTACACACTACCCTGTAGAACCTTCTTTAAAGCTAAGCTAGGTGCTATGTATGGCAGTCCTACTTCAGCCTTCAGACTCCGAATACCTTCCACCTCCGACATGTTCTGGATCTTTGCGCAACGCTGGAAAAATGGTTAATACCTAAATTTCTGCCAATTTCACTGAATGCGCGTAGAAAATATACCAGAATCCCCGGCCACGTACCCTTCAGTCATCCTTTTCCAGGAGCATAATACTCTCTCCCACTAAATACATGCAACCCGGTAGAGATTACCCTAAAGATGTTTGACATTGGTTGGTGTCATATGGTCCGAAAACTCTCAACCAGCGTGAATAACGGTCGAGGAATTCCTCAAAAATGGCTCTGTACTGTGCGAAAGTAGTGCCGAGAGTGAACGTACGCGCAGGGAGCACAGTCGGCTCGCGCATGGCGAGTGTGAATGTCGGCGAGGGAGAGGTTAGAGACCAGGCGAAAATCTTCGAGGAGCCGTTCAGGAGTCCTCAACCGACTGTCACCGCTGATATCAACCACAGGTGCGCTACAACTCTGCGCTTCAACATCTCTACCAGTGGCGAACGTCTTGATAAAGATGATTCTATTAGGTCGGTCCATAATTTTTGAGAACCTTTGGTGTTTTTCGACTTAATTACTTATCTTATTTCTCTGATGTATTTATTCAGCATAGTATACATCACCATTATTACCAACATATAACCAATGCGAGGGTGGGTATTCAGTGTCCCTCTTATAGAATTTCATAGAGTTCTGATCGAAGAAATATTGGATGTCGATTTTGACTTTATGGTGATTCAAGTGAGATTTCTTCTCCAGAAGGTGATTGAGAGAGGAGAGCGGATAGTCGTTCGTTGACGCAGGATTAGTGCTATAAGGCGGAGCTAAAAGAACTGACCGCCCGAGAGTCTCCAATTTTTTAGGAATTTTCTTAGCAAGGCGGGCTCGAACGACCTCAGAAAAAAATAGATTTTGTCTTCCTTTGCTTTCAAGTTTGAAGGCGTTGCCATCAAGCTGTCAACGATTCTTCCCATCACTGACACTGGTATTAGTTGATGCCGGTCTTCAGCGCAAAGGCCCTCCCGTATTGCGCCAACGACTCAGGAAGTTCGAATTCAGAGGGAGTTGGGTTTTTACTGTCAGAACTCCCGAATCGTTTGAGCAAATCTACTACGATTTTTTCTACTGCGGCTCGTGGGAATTGTTTAGCACATTGCACCCAGTCCCACATCACCAATGAGTATTATAGATGGTCATCCGAAGGAACTATAGGAAACCAACAGGAACTTGATGATGTCGGATTGGGTTGAGAACTGATTCGGGACTACAATTTTCCTTCGATCAGAACTCTATGAAAGTCCACAAGAGAGGCACTGAATACCCACCCTCGCATTGGCGATATGTTGTTAATAATAATGATGTATACTATGCTGGATAAGTAGATCAGAGAAATAAGATAAGTAATAAATCGAAAAACACCAAAGGTTCTCAAAAATTGTGGACCGACCTAATATATTTTGTTCTATGCAAACAAGAATTTAAGTTCGATACACTTTCAAGTTTTCCTACAAAGAAGTGGAGAATCAACCATTCACAACGCATAACGAAGAAAAAGTCACTAGATTCTGAATAAAGATAGTTTGGATCGATCCTTTCCATGGTGAAACACCTCCGACCTTACAGACCTCCAAACATCAATAGAGACAGATGGTTCAACCTAGCTGTCATAAGCTTAAGAGCCTTTACGAAGAACGAAACAGCTGCTAACGAGTGTATGAAGCTGACGCTGCTATTTTAATTGGCTGAAGCCACGCCTAGCGATTCCACAAAAGCACAAAACCACCTGCATTAGACCGGTTCGGAAAAGACAGCCCTTTCAAACACGATGTGATTGTCTTTCCTCGTAATGGCTACCGGGTATCAAAACGGAGGATGTCTCGAATTGAGCGTGTTCGTCCCAATGTGGAGAGTCATCCAAACGGCGGGATCGCAAGTTACCTCTTGACCTACTGCTTGGAGGACGATTCCAAAACACAGTCAGAGTTCGAGGAAGGGGCAAAAGGATACCCCCGTGGCCTAGCAAGGCCGTACCCGCGCCGCTGCAGTCCCACCGAGCTGACGCTCGTCATCTCGTTCTAGCCGTTTCAGCAGAGGGTTAACGTTGATTAGGTGAGCACTGATCAGACATACCTAACGCGCAGATCAACGGTCAAAAGGGTACCCTTTTTCGGATCTACGTCGTTTTTCCTGAATTTTTTTCCTCATCTCTGCACCACTGACCGCCTCTATGTTAATTTCTGAGGGAGGGTCTTTTCCGTAACCCCTTCTTTAAGAAAGGAAAAATGCTAATGAAGGAAAACCAACTTTATACCACATGAATGTTGACGAATTTAACGTTTTAATGCCCAGTGTTAGATACGTGACAACATCACAAGTTCGACATAAAACAAAGTAGCATAAACAAATAAGTTAGTAGAGCGTGCCTAGTATAAAACCGTAATTATAAACCTCTATGTACATGTAAGTACCAATTGAATGTCTACAAAGATATCAAGTTTCTATGCTACTTTGATAGCATATGGCTGTCTTTAATTCCCGGCTTTCCGCAATTTTTCATGAGCCTGAAAAAATTGAATTGCTGAGTTCCTCCGCGAATTTAAAACAAAGTGGTAAGAAGTAAACTGATTTGTTTTTGATTGTTACTGCTGTTTTTGGCCGCAGTTTACCTTGCGAAAGTTGGGCTATGAACAAAACCTTCGGCAAAGGTGGGATTATGAAAAGGTAAAAGGGTCCGGGTGCGAGTCCCGCCTGGGGCGGAACTTTGTTTATAACCTAATTCTTGTGGAACAAATAATAGAATAGATGCCAAATAAAGTAATAATTTGAACAAAGTGCAACTTCTCCTGCCTTTTGATGTATCGATTGGTCATCAGCCGTTACGACTGGCATCTTAAACGCGTCTTTATAATACTTCATAGCTTCATCTCTGTTGCCCATCTTCTCGTACACCTCTCCAATGTAGTACATGTTGGTGCTGTAGAATCCTGGCTAAAAAAGAATATAAATGATTTCGCCTCTTATCACGACTAGAAGAACAAGCCCCAGATTGAGCGATCTTTTTCCGAAAATTTTTGAACAAGCTTCTCCCAACTCGGTGCACGCTTCACCCATCATGAATACTCGCTCTTCCCTTCACTTCCTCTTTATCAACTTTTGTCAGCCAGGCAAATCATAAGTTTCGAAGGTTAGTTTTTTCCACTTCAATGACCGCTCTCCTTTAAAGCCACTGCTTGATCGCGAATCACGCGACGGATCACAGAAATCGTGAGTGCCCAATCGATATTGCGAATTGCTGTCCAATACTGCCGTCATTACTGCTAGAAGCAACAGTCCCAGCAGGGTGGGCGTGGTCGGAAACGACTGCAATCCCCTCGGCCGATTCCGACCACGCCCACTTCAGCTCCCTCCTAGCGGCTTTCCAAGGTGAGTTTTTGTTCAGTCACACTTCTTACGTTCTTGACTAGGGGCTGAACAGCTCCGAAGTGGGAATCGGCCGAGGGGATTGCAGCCGTTTCCGACCACGCCCACCCTGCTGGGACTGTTGCTTTGAGTGGTGGTTGAAAGACAACTGATCATGATTCCATCTGTCTCATATTCAGTGTTTCAATGTTCCAATGAGGCATTTGCGATCCTTGTGATTCTTGCGATTCGCGCGAATCGCGCGACGGATCGCGGACTCTGACCCCACCCTTAGAGCACACAACAAATGAAACCCTTGTCGGCGTATTTCTCTAAGCTTAGCATTACCAGTGTAACAAAAATCAAACCGATGTGTCAGCAAACTCACTGAAATTTCCTCCGCTTTAAGAAAGTAATGTAACGCTTGGTCATATGTTGATGAAGGTGGCGTCGCGAAGACGGCTTTCGCTACAAGCCGGGTCGCATAGCTCATATCCGCGAATGAGAAGTGCCACATGCCTAAGGCGAAGAATAGTAAACATAGAAGAGGTTATGGAGAAACGTAGTGAGTGGATTATGCATAACCTAAAACTGAACATTACTCACCAAGGATGTGCCACGTTGTTGCATCACTGGAGCATATTTGGAGTGCACGTTCGAGATGCTCCTTCACCTACACGGCACGAATGGAATGGGCTAATTTGTTATATAGCTATTATTACCTTGTAAGACTTCTGTAGGCGCGACTTATTCCCCTCAATCTCTCCAATATAGTCGAGAAGAATCGCGTACCTTAACAAGTACGATTCGAAAAGCATCAAAGGGTCAGTACTGATCGGTCACTCTTGGGATGCGTCCAGATTCTTCTTCGAATCAGAGTCGTAGGGGCAAGGCGATTTTGCCTTTATAATGACTTCTAGATGACAGCCGACTAGAGTCAGTGTTTCACCTTAATGAACCCGACATCAATAAAGGAACTGTGTTGGAATTAAAGGCTTCATTGGCATGAATCCTGGACTTGACTCCCAAGCCGCGCTGTAAGCAGCGCTCGAAGTATGAACAGTTAGTCACAGCGCGGTGTTGCGTCTCCAGTTCAGCGTTTCCGAAATACCAGGAAAACGATAGCTACATCGATCCCCATGGGTATCCCGCGATTTGGCATATAGACACTTATCCATGAGTAACGCCTCACCCTTAAACAGTAAACAAAAAAATGCGCCACGCTCCATCTTATGCATGTCAGAACTGGAAAAAGAACCGCAAACTATAAAAATTACCATTTATGAGCGCCGAAACAACCGTCTTTCGGTTCCTTTTCGAGAGCTTTCTCAACAACAGCGAAGGCCTCATACATCAACGCCTCTCTGTCAGCTTTGTTTTTGCTGAAAACGGTTCATTGGTGCGATGCTGCCGATGAATGAGAAATGCTATTAGGGTGCTCCAAGGAGTTCGTGCCATTTTTGAACATTTTTGATTTAACATTATCTCAACAAAAGCTATATCCATGATCAATATATGGACCGCCACTATCTTTGACTCGTTGTTTACAATTCACCGGAGAATTAATGCCATGCTCACAGAAGGTCGGCAGTTTCAATCTAAAGAAGGCAGTGAAGTAAATTTCGAGCGCTTTCTTTTAATTTTTTTTTGTCCGCAAGATGTTTGTTTAGCAAGAATAGACGGCCTCTGGAAGGAGGCTGATCACTGCTGCACAGTGGATTTGGTGGGACTTCCCTTTACTGGCTAGGGGCGTCTTAGAAACGCGATCTCGGTTGTTGTATAGTGCTGAACATTTACTCGGGTGAATTTTGGGCGAATATTATAAATGGAGTTTCTATCAGCTAGGCGCCGAATTACAGTTCGATTAGATAATACTCGCGCAAGCAGGGAGCAGGGGTTTAGTGTTGGTCAGGCTGGCGATGGCGTTGCTCAGCACCACGGTTAGGCGGGGAACAGGAAGGAAATGGAAGAAGTGAATGTTTTGCACGTTCTGTGATTACTTGGCAAATCATTTAAGTCTTTATTCAAGCTTCACAATTTTTAAAAGACCATCTACCAGCGTAGGTGCCTGAGCAGTTGAGTTAGCAGATGATAGCAAGTATAACGTCGTGCAGGTGGACTGCGATATAAGAGCACAGCAGGTCCAAATGAGACACTGATTAACTTGTTGGAGAAGGATTCCCTTTCAGATCGCATTTTCTGGGCTAAAACGTGGGGTGGAGCGAGACAAGGAGTTGCATCGCATAGCAGAGGTCACTCTGCTTCGATGGTTAAGTAGAAGTTATAAATCGACTTTAATCTATTCGACTTGTATCATAAATTACGTAAATCTTGCAGAAATTTCAGATCGACTAACAAAAATTTGGCCGAATGATCCAAAAAGTTGGCACGATTTGAGACAGCCTATATTTTGTAGATATTTTACACATTGGAAAGGTCAAAATTAAAAAGACCTCACCTCAGTTTAGCCTTCTCGCACAGCACCCTTGCTAATCTCCAGAGACTCGAGCAGTCACTAAGAATCACCACCTTGGAATTTCACAAAAATATCATTTGTCTTTAGGAAGTTTCGAAAGCCTATACCGTTACGCGATCCGAAGTTGAAAGGTGAACACAAGACAGATAACAAAGGCCGCGGATTCACTGCTACCGTAACCTGCGTTAGCATTGGTGCGCGCTGTAGCAGGCATTGGCGCGCCCTTAAGCGACACAAGCATCAGCGCGGGAGCAGTGGTCAACCAATAAGTGAGAGGGCTAAGCCTCAGGGAAGGAGTAGAAAGGGAAACATGCTGTAATGTGTGTGAATATGCGAGCGCCGGGCGATCAGAAACACAAAACCTGAGATGAGCCAGGCCTGGCGGTTGATTAGTATACGAAGTTATTACGGCCGCTGGCGCCATTTGTCGCCATTTGTGGCCACCTTGTCACGACGGCTGTTTTCACTAAATTCGGCGTAAACATTACATTCGCTTACATTACATTAACATTACATTACATTCGTACATTCGCTTCGAACTTGCAGCCTGAAGATTTCTGCTGTCCTGGACTATTCACTTTAGGGGCTAGTGCTCTGATGGGAAGGGGACTTATGGCGTGGTGAATTGCGCATCGTGCAGTAAGAGATGAAATGTGTGAGATCACAAGGTGAGTGGCTCACCTTGCTCACCTCTGAGCCTCCTCTCGCCAAATGCTTAGTCCTGATAGCGATCAAACCAGTGAGAGGGCGCAAGCGACCGGAAAACAAGTACCAAATGGCGCCTAACATCAAAAATGAATATCGTATTCGTAATCAGGGCATCGAACTACCCCTATGAACAAACTTCCGACGAAAAATAAAATTTCTGCTTCGTTTTTCAGTCACTGGGCGGATCGGACTAGTCGTGGATAAATTTGCTAATGGGTAACTTTCGCTAAGTTTCAACGTCGAGTGCATAACCAATAATCATGATGATCTAAGCCGCAATTAACAACCAAATTATGAGAACTACGAAAAGTAATAATCTGAGTGCTCTTTTCCAAGTTTTTCCTTGACTGGCTTGCCTGTGGGGCCGGTGGGGCTGCTAGGGTATGAACCGCTCTTCTTTAATCCTCTCTCAGGACTGCCTACTCTGCTCTATTTTGTGCTCCTTTGTCTACTCTTTATTCCACCGCTTTGTGACTTTCCCAATCTTTTGCTCTTCGTGCTAACCTTGCGTCGCAAAAAGCGCGCCAATGCTTGCTGCAGCGCGCACCAATGCTAACACGGATTACGGTAACAGTGAATCCGCGGCCTTTGTTATCTGTCTTGTAAGGTGGACAACCCTGCGCTAATTGAATCTGTCCCGCCAGAAGTAGGGATTCTGTTAAAATTAACAATATAACTGATTGGTGAAAGGATTCGTCACGGGCTCTTGTACGTAGCTGAACAAGACCCTCTCATGACGACAGAGGGAGAAGGCTGATCGGTAAGTAAAACATGCAAAGACTCTGACTCACCTTTTCAGAATACTGTATGCATTGTCAATGAGGTAGTTGTCGTACAGAGCGTCTGCCTCTCGAACAATCATGTCGAAGTTTTTCGGCCTGGATTCATCAACCTGAGGTTGAGGTGCTGTCGAAAATATTGATAGCGCTAACGACGACGACAAACCTGCACCCACGATGCACTTTGTGACTGGTGTGAAGCGTCGCTGTAAAAAAAATGGAATATCTTGATAAGTATCGTATAAATGAGATTCGGTTAAAAGGGTAAGAAGTAGCATCACTATTCAACTCTTAGGCTGATGCAAAAGTTCTGCAAAAACAATGCTGGTGCTTTCTTCTCAATATCAGGTTTGAGAACATTCCCGGTCTTACTACCCAGAGGCTATAAATAAGCTACTGCGCGATTTCTACAGTCGCCAGCATCGGCAGCGCGATCACGGAAGTTCTCTTCATTGATACTATCTAGAGAGGTCACGATTTCCTCAGCGACAATAGATGCGACGCTTTTCCGATAAACTCGTCCGTACCCAGCTGTCATTACGCAATAGTCCAAAAGAATCCTGAATCTGCCACTGGGAAGAGGCAAGACACTTGTGTGCGACCACTCCACAGTCCAACAGCTTCGAAAATACGGCTTCCGAGAAGTGCTCGCTCAATTTATCCAAAAAAGTTGGTCGACGACCTTCGTACTTGTGTCTCATCTATCACTCGCTTCTCCTCACCTTCCAATCGGGGGGATCAGTAACTTGAAGAACTCATGGCGGTAATTGAAAATTAGATTTTGTAGGACAACAGCACAAGGTACCCGCAAGGCCCTTGCAAAGGAAACATCCACCTACACTTACGGAAGTAGCTGCAGTTGATGAGAGTTTACATCAAAACTTTCCTCGGTGATATTTTGCCACGACCTGCTCCTGCAAAGCCAGGCAGTCACCGCTTAACATCAGTGAAACCTAATTTCAAAGCCTCTACTAAACGATAAGATGAGAACAAGGATAAGAACGGCTTCTGTCCATCCTTCCAAACCTACCCTACCTCCATGACTTCCTCCCTTCTCACGGTCACTTGCACGAGTTGTCGAGTACCTTCTTACGCAGAAGACTTCTGACTATGACGACCTCGAAATCACTATGACCGAAGATTGTTTTCAAGAATATGGCATTCTTGGCCTGAGAACAACTTGACGTCAATTCAGAAATAACTTGATGCCAAATCGCTGTTAAATAATTCCAGCGCCGAAGGTTAATCTCATACTGCGATATGGGTACTCAAGGATCGCAACACGTAAGTTTATTACGAAATTGTTGTGCTTAATCGGTGCAAGATGACGCGGCGCTTGAAAGAATATCATATTCGTTATCACAACATTGGATAACCGCCGTGGATAAATTACCGACGGAGAAATTCTTCTCAGATTTCAGTTAACTGGATGGGGTGGAAGCTTGAGTTCTGGAAGTAGGCAGCCGAGTCTGACGGTCAACTACATTTACACATTCACCGGGACCCAAGAGAAACATCACAGCCTTTTTTAGGCAGCCGGCTCCCCCACTTTCTTCACGATTTGGGGCGCGGCCGCGGCGAGCGCGGACGAGTCGATAGTGCCCGCGAACTGTGCGGGTAAATTTGAAAACACTCCACCAGCACAGTTCGCGGGCACTATCGACTCGGCCGCGCTCGCCGCGGCCGCGCCCCAAATCGTGAAGAGAGTGGGCCTAGGCAGCCTGGAGAATCTGAATTATCCAGACTACATGGTTTTCACGATGTTCCAAAAACGCCACTTACAAATTGAGAGGTAATTTTGAGAGTTCCGCGGAAGATCCGAAGCAGAGATTGATATCTATTCATGGTTGTGTGACAAGTCGAGTAGATCTCTGAAATGAACCATACATATTTCAAGCTCGGCCACACCTTATGTTATTCGCAGCGAGACATGTATATCGACTTAGGCGATGTGGTGACAACCTCAAAAAATCGATATCACTTATGCTCTCTGGGGTGTGGTTAACTAGGACTTTTTTCGCGATTTTTTCGCGTTTCGCAGCGCAAACATTTTTCGCTGCAGGAACCTCAGGTCCACCGCGGCTCCCCCACTTTCTTAGGCTGGTGTCAGAGTCCGCGATCCGTCGCAGGTTTCGCTGATTTCGCGATTTGCGCGATTTGCGCGAAACCTGCGATGGATCACAGGAGTTGCCGATGTCAGACTTTGCGATTGCGAGCGAGAGTGGTCTTTGCGATTGGAGCGATTGATCGCTTGCAGCGAGCGACGGGAGATTTACACGGCCGACCAACGATAATTCGGCGCCATCAGCTCGTAAATGTCCCGTCGCTCGCAGCTCCCTGCCACAACGGCCAAGGCACTTATCACGGCCCGAGCGATGGATCGCTCAAGCGATCCATCGCTCCAAAGTGCGAGCGACGGGAGATTTACGAGCTGATGGCGCCGAATTATCGTTGGTCGGCCGTGTAAATCTCCCGTCGCTCGCAGCGATGGATCGCTCAAGCGATCCGTCGCTCCTGCAATTTGTGCACAATCGCTCCAATCGCAAAGTCTGACATCGGCCAGTTGGGAGTGCCCGATGATACTGCGAAGTGCTGTTCAATCCTACTGCGAATTCTGCCTGACAGTGAAGATTGAAAGACGACTGTTCGTGATTCTACTTCTTTCATGTTCAATGTCTATCAGTTCATTGAAATGCTCACTATTCGTTCCATAAGTTCCAAACTTCTATAATATCAAAAGCAAGTGGATGATAGGGCAGTCTCAATAGCCATCACTATCAAGTAGAAGTGGCGGCGGCATGGAAAACACCTTGCAGTATTGATGGGGCACTTGTGGTTACCGTCACGAAAATCGCGCAAATCGCTGAAATTAGCGAAACCTGCGACGGATCGCGGACTCTGACACCAGCCTTAACGATTTGGGTGCGCAGTCCGCGAGGCGGCGGACGAGTCATTAGTATCCCGAACTGTGCGAATGAATTTTGAAAACGCTTACCAACCACAGTTCGAGCGGGAGGCGGTCATATGGCGCGATCCCATTGGCATTAGAGCGCACAGTATCCAGGACAACTCGTCCGTATCACACAGCTGCTAGACTTCAGCAATTGATCGAAGTGATAGTTTGGACCCTCTCGCTGAGTTCCGAAGATTAAAAAAGGGTGGGTAGCTTCGTTGGCTTGATGCCAAGGCAAGGTCAACCGAAAAGGACGTGTTGCGCGAGACGAGTTGTCCGGACACAGCAGGACGTGGTAATTACGGCCTATGCGCTCCAATGCCAATGGGATCGCGCCATATGACGCACACCTTTCGCGGGCACTCACAGTCGACTTGTCGCGGTCGCGCGCTGCCGCCCCAAACTCGGCTAAGCAAAGTGGGAGCCGCAGTCCGCCTGATATGTTGAGACCTGGGTTCCCTGCAGCGTAAAATATTTACGCAGCGCGAAACGCGAAAAAAGTCGTTCCTGTCCTAAGGAATCACACCTCCCCCCACCCCCTAGATTGGCTACACTCCTCACGAATTCCCGATTCTCGTGACAGTATAGTAGCGGGCAGCAGTCCCACTTACATACATTTCTGTTCAAAAAATGCGGCGTGCCCACCCTACTTGTATAGCACCGATAATATGTACAATGACAACAAAAAACATGTTGACGAACAAATTGACTGAGAGATATATCCAGCATCCACCTTCATGTACAATATGTGCCCGCTCATTCACAGGGTCTAATACTGGGCAATGAATCTCGCCTGAGGCAGCCTTGCCTGGCGGACAGATTCACGCTTAAAATAGCATCTAAAGAGCAGAATATAATCTGTGCTTCCGGAAGTACAGACCAAACGCCACAAATGACGGCCTCCACAAAATGTAAATGTTTCTGCCAATGAAATGATTAGCCTGTTGCAGTTGTATTCTATCAGTTGTCACTACAACTATCATTTACCAACTAATCAGCTATCACTTGGAACACTAGAAACCAGATTTACTTGGAGGCTGTCGTCATTTACGGTGTGCAGACTGCATTCGACGCGCATCTGATTGTCGGAAGCAGAAGGCACGTACGCAATGTATGCGGACAGGAAGACGTTTCACTACTTAATTGCACATGGTGTATGGTTTTCCTATTGTTGTGACATTTGTGTCTGAGGCTCGACTTGTACAATTTAATTTAATTTTTCAGACCAATGATGCTGCTCAGAATATATTAACCAGTTGGCGCCGCACGCATTGCGCGCGCAACACAGATCTGCGGCGAATTTTGATGGTGCGACGAAAATTTTCAAATTTGGCTTGATACACCACGAATATCTGAATTCTCAGCTAAATTCTATCCGCTCCATCATCGACGGCTTTCAACCTTTTTTCTTCGTCAACCATTATCCTCTTTTTCTCGGTCTCCGGACTGCTTCCGGACAATAAATCTCGTGGCGAACTCCGTCTACTTCGGTGCGTGCCCTGCCCACCAATAGCATTTGGCCCCCTTCCTTTCGCCGACCTCTATCCACTTTCTTCTCCTTTTCCAAGACTTCCTG